AGCTGTTCTTGAACGGCATGCAGAAGGTGATGTCATTGTCATTGATGATGATGAGCCTGAGACACCACTCCCTAGCCGCACAGACGCATTAGCTGCTGTTGCTACACTTCAGCAGTATATTTCGGGTGTTGATGGGGACTTTGCGCGTAGTATGGAGAAGGTACTGGCTGACTTTGGTCGCCAGACTCGCCTAGAGGGCCTTAAGAGCCTCAAGGATACCTCCCTTACTCAATACTTCAAGTCTGCTTAACATAGATGTTCTCAATGGCTTCGGAAAAAGTCGCATTTAATCGAAAATAAAAATAAAATCATTATATATATTATTTATGGCCTCTTTCGCAACCCATACTCTGTAAAAACCCATACTTTTGAGCGTCCACCATAGGGTATGGGTTAAGACAGAGTTGACTGTAGCACTATGGGTTGTCCTTCCGTTCTGAAACTAAACTTCCTAAATATGGTAATTCATGGATATTCTGATCTTGTCTTTGATGTACTTTTTTTTTAGGACGGACAGGTCCAGCATGTCCCAGGATGGCATAGGGGGTGCAAGCACCACTTCAACGTGCGGGGCCAGGTGCCTCCCACAGACATAAGCCTTCCTATTGATGCCTACTTCAACACAATACAATAGTGAGCACCTTCGCAAGGTGCTTTCGGAGTTGTTCCAAGACCAAGGGTCCACCAGCAGAAGTTCAACAGCCCCCTCCAGAAGTGTAATAAGGCATCTCTTACAATAATTATGTCTGCACAACAGCCTACCTGCCGGGAATCAGTGTCACTTGGTAAGAATTGTCAAATGATGCATTGTCAAGGATAACGCAGCTGGTTGACACATAAGGGACAACGAAACAGTCAGATGATTCTATCCTGTTTTCTCTGTGTAGCTGAATGTCAACATTGTGTTACTTATGAGGTTTGACCAACCTGCTATGTTGGAGACAATGATGGCACATCAGTGCTATCTGTAGGACACATGAGCAATGTTTAATCGCACAGGAAAGGGAAAAAACAAATACCAATCTGCATCTCCTAAGGTGATTCTGCCTCGAAGTCTGGCCGATCTTGCCCCACACATCTGAGACATGATAGAGGCCTGCAAAACATGTGGAATGATTGATGCCCGCATCAGGAATTGAATCTGCAGAATGGCAATTCTCTCTAGGTCACGTGTCTAGAGATGGCTTGTTTAACCACTTGACCATTGTGTCTGACTAAACTGGGCCGGGTGTAATGATGTATATAAAAGACATAAATGCCCCGTATTTGCCACGCTCTGCAATGGCCTGTCCTCTGGTTCAAGCTATGATGAACACGCTCTTTCGAGACCTTATTGCCAGTGGCAAGGTCATTATATGTACTCTTGAGGAGCATCGCGACATTGTCCACCAAGTACTCAAGATCCTCCGTGACAACCATCTTTACCTAAAGCCGAAGAAATGCGACTTTGAACAGTCGTCTATTGAGTACTTGGGCATGATTGTTGAACAAGGAGTCATTCGCATGGACCCCGCTAAAGTGGCTGCCATTTCGGACTGGCCTAAGCCCACTAAGAAGCGTGAACTACAGTCATTCCTTGGTTTCTGCAACTTTTACCACCGGTTTATCAAGGACTTCTCCAAGATCGCCCGTCCTCTCTATAATCTCACGAAGAAAGATGTTCCATAGCACTGGGATAGCAAGTAGCAACAAGCATTCGAGGCATTGAAGGAACATATTACTTCCACCCCAGTGCTCGCTATGCCTAATGACAAAGGGCAATGGCGCGTCGAGTCTGATGCGTCTGACTATGCCCTTGGCGGAGTGCTTTCCCAGCAACAACCCAATTGGAAATGGCAGCCTGTCGCCTTCCTCAGCAAGTTGTTCAACGACGCTGAACAGAACTATGAGATTTACGACAAGGAGATGTTAGCTATTATGACTGCACTAGAGGAATGGAGGCAGTACCTCCTAGGCACACGAGAGTCCTTTGAGATCTGGACAGACCACCTCAATCTCACCTACTTCCGGGAAGCCCGCAAGCTTCACGATCGCCGTCAAGCCCGCTGGTTTACAGAGCTTCAAGACTACAACTTCACTCTGTTACACAAACCAGGCAAGACTATGACTAAACCGGACGCTCTCTCTCGTGATGCTGCAAAGAATGAAGGTCTTCACGACAATGAGAACGTGGTTCTCTTAAAGCCTGAACTCTTCCGCCACCTCCTCCTCCGTGCCACGATTATCGACATAGAAGGTCCCAATGCTGTGCTCTACAAACGCATCCATGACTCTAAGGCAGATGTTGATGACGCTGTTGTCAAAGCATCAGACGCAGACAAGCATCATAAGACCTGGAGTCGCAACGAAGACGGAGTATTATTGAAGGGAACATGCATGTATGTGCCACGCAATAAAGATCTACGCACAGATATCATCGAAGCACATCATGACCCTCCCGCAGCTTGTCACCCTGGACGCTGTAAGACACATGAGCTCATCAGTCAAGACTATTTCTGGCCCACCATGCGCAACAATATACGCAAGTATGTTGAAGCCTGCCAGACTTGTCAACGCGTCAAGTACGACCGCTCCAGACCGGCTGCCCCCCTTCATCCCAATCCTACTCTTGAAGGACCTTTCCGTCATGTCGGTGTCGACTTTGTAGGCCCTGTACTACCATCAGAAGGCTACAACATGATATGTGTCTTCACGGATCACTTCACAAAGTATGTCATCTATGCCCTGTGCCACGATACAATCACCGGCCCCCAACTCGCGAGCTTGTACAACAAATATGTCTATTCCCACCTTGGCCTCCCACGCCGCATTATCTCTGATCGAGGAGCCCAATTTATCAACTCCTTTGTCCGCGAGCTCTTTTGTCTTGAAGGCGTTGAAAGTAACCTATCAACCGCCTATCACCCACAGACGGACGGTCAGACTGAACGTCAAAACCAAGAGCTTGAAACCTTCCTTTGTATCTGGGTCAACTCTCACCAGAACGACTGGGCAACGTGGTTACCTAGTGCGCAGTTCCATTACAACAACCTCGCCCACTCAGCAACTGGCATATCCCCATCCACCGCGCTCTTTGGCATGCCTGCCTACGATGGATACAACGCACGTCTTAAACCAAAGGTGACAGCTGCTGGCGAGTTTGCTGCAATGTGCGACAAGATCAGAGAAGAGATCGAGTCTGCTCTGCGTGATTCCAAGACACGCATGAAAGAGCAGTATGACAAACACGTTCGCGATGCTATCCCATACGCGCGCAATCAACTCGTTTGGCTCAGTGCGAAGAACATCAAGAGCGTACAACCATCCAAGAAGCTTACGCATCTTTACTATGGACTGCCATAAGAAATCACTTGGATAGTCAATGACTAGCATTGAAAAAGTCATACATGCCTAGTCCATATGGCCATGGCCCCCTTGACTAGGCATTTAACTAGTGGTTGTACTACCTTTTGTATCTCAAGCACTAGAATAGCTAGAACTATGGGGTTTTATACACTAGGGGCCTCAAGTATATACTATAGTGGTTTAGGGGGG